AGGTGCGTAATACACGACTGCTTGAACAACACGGCGGCTGACAACAACACAGTTTCCGACAAGCTCACCCAGAATGAGATTGAGGAGCTCGAGGGTACCCTCCAGGAGAGCAAGAACAACGACACGAGCATTCTGCGAGGCCTCTTGGACATGATTCCCGACGGTATCTTCGGCGGTAAGCACCAGAGCAACCGGGTGGACGAGCTCCAGAGCAACGCCACCTCCTCCCAGCTCCAGAGCATGCAGGTCTCTCCCAGAGAGCCTGAGGAGTACACCCGCTACATCCAGGATGTCTTCAGGCAAATCATGCCTGCTATCGAGTTCCACGATGAGATCCTGCAAGGGATCACCGAGGCCATCGAGAAGATCCCCGTCTTGCCCAAAATCCTGGAGCAGCTCGAGGAGCAGCTGTCCAAGTTTGTCTTCTCCCTCATTGCGCCCTTCATCCTCCCCGTCATCAACCAGATTCGCAACGAGCTCCGCACCGGCTCTGCCGAGATCATTGAGAGCAGTGAGAGGGAGCAGCATATCGTCTTCGAGGATGACCGCAGCACCGACCCCACTCACTCCATGCTGTCCAAGGACCACTTCACCAACGTAAGAACCAGTTCCCCGCGATGAGTAGCTAGTATGAGAGCTTACGTCTTCACACAGATTCTGAACGAAGTCGCCGGCCGCTGCGCTGCTAAGACGCTGCACTGGGTCGTACCCCAGCTCATGGAGGCCATTGACGATGAGAGCATTGATGTTAATCGTACCCTGAACCGCATCATCTTTGGTGTTCTGCACCACCCCGCTCAGCGCGACATGGGCGAAGACGGCGCCCGGGACGGACGTCAGCAGATCTTCAAGTTCATGGAGGAATGGTGGAACGAGATGGACAGGAGCCAGCAAGACGACTACCGTCGCAAGCTGACGCGCGAGGGTGTCGAGCGTGGCGAGAACCACAAGGAGGGAGTTCACGATACCGGCCACGGCCACGGCTGCAGCGGCAAGCTCCACATGCGCAAGCAATTTGGCGAGCCTACGACCTGGGAGGACAAGGTTGCGGACCAGGCTGCCGGTGCTATTCTCGAGGGGGTTTCTGGCGGGATCGCCAGCCTCATGGAGCAACAGACCGGAGTCAAGGTCCCGCAGTACAAGCACCAGCAGGAAGAGGAAAGCAGCAGCGGCGGCGGTGCTGGAGGTCTGATTGGATCCATTCTTGGCGGTGTTTTTGGAAAGGATGAAAAGGAGACCCAGCATAGCAGCCGCCGTGACGACGACGGCGGTTACACCCAGACCACAACCGAGTACGGCCACCACGGCAACAAGTACGGCCAGGCCGAGTACAGCGAGACCCAATACCCCAGCGGTGGCGGTCGCTCCGAGTACCGCAGATACGAGCAGGAGGATAGCCAGGGCGGACGCGAGACTAGCGGCTACGAGTATCAGCAGACTACAGAGACCCGGCCCTCATACGGCGGCGGATATGAGCAGCGTACTGAGACCCACCGATATGAGGGCAACACCGAGTCTGGTTACGGCGGTGGTCGCCGTGACGATAACGAGAGCGGCTACGGCGGTCGTCGTCAGGAGGAAAGCAGCTACGGCGGCCGTCAGGAAGAGAGCTACGGCGGCGGGTATGGCGGCGGACGCCGTGATGACAACGAGAGTAGCTACGGCCGACGGGAGGAGAGCTATGGCGGCGGCTATGGCGGCGGACGCCGTGATGACAACGAGAGTAGCTACGGCCGACGGGAGGAGAGCTATGGCGGCGGACGCCGCGATGACAACGGGAGCAGCTACGGTGGCCGTCAGGAAGAGAGTTATGGCGGCGGCTACGGCGGCGGACGCCGTGATGAAAACGAGAGTAGCTACGGCCGACAGGAGGGCGGTTACGGCGGCGGACGCCGCAACGACGATGACGATGAGCGTCGCGAGGATGGCGGCGGCTTCGGCGACTTTATCGGCAAGGTAACGGAGAGATTTGGCGACAACGAAAACAACCGCAGATGGTAGGCGCGCGTTGTAGCTATTTCTCTTGATGGTCCTTAGCTTTGACACGGAAGTCGCGCAGGGAAGGCGAGGCGGTTGTGCCCTGGTCGATGATGATGATGATGATGATGAACCGGTGGGCTTTTTTAACTGGCAGACGTGTAGCTGGGGTTAACCCCTATGGGTTACAGGGTTCACGAAGAGCAGTAGCGACAAAGAAAAGGTCTTGGTTTCGGCGATGAAAGTTGGTCGAGCGCGGATGGTGTTGGTGAACCCTTATTCCGGAGTCGATTCTCTTGATTGCGTGGCCGGGGTGCCCAGTTCCATTTAACTTGCACGTCCCCTTAAACGGCAAGTCTCTGTGTGCTTTCGTCCCGTCGTCCCGTCGTGCCAGTAAGGGTACCAGGTGAATGAAGTCTCGTCGAAAACGCGCCAAATTGCGGCGCGAAGAGCCTGTGGGCCGGGGTGTTGTTGGCCCATCATTTGCCGCAAGCAGGCACCGCTGGGCAGGCTCCGAACCCCACAACCCATCTCTGTCTGATCCGGAGCGAGGGCTGCCCGCGTGCCGCCCGCTGTCTTGCCGTCGCCTGTTCAGAATTGAACCCCCCAAAGCTAGCTTCCGCGATGACGCGCTGTCGCTGAGAGTTAGATGGGTGGTTTTCCCGCTTCTTTTTTTCGGTACGGCTAAACTGGACCGCTTTCTGGGCCGCGGATTGTCGAGGTGACGGTGTTTGTGATCATCGCCCCCCCCCCCCCCTTCATACCATGACAAGCGAACGTAAGCCCGATGGGGATGATCCTCTCGTAGGATGGAGGGTGGGGGAAGGGCCGGACGGGACGGATTCCGTCGTGGATGATAAGAGAGTCCTGGTAAATTGGTCTTCCTCGCCGGTCTGTTAGTCAGGATGATCGGCTAGATGTATATAGTGGATGAAGTCTCTCTCCATCAGTCTGTCCCTCATCGAGTTGTAGTACTTATAGCTGCTATAGACTCCCCGTTGAAGCGAATCAAGGAGGAGCAGCCCATCATACTCAAGAGGAAGGCGGGCAGACAGCCAGACAAGATGCAGCCCACGCAACCCCTCCTCCCCTTCTTCTTCTCCCTCGTCCCCTTTCTCTCTCCCTCGGCAGCTCAGTCCTCCGGCGCAGGGTCGACGACCCGCTACTGGGACTGCTGCAAGCCCTCCTGCGCCTGGCCCGGCAAGGCCACCCAGCTGGCCGCCGGGCCCGTGACGACCTGCGACCGCAACGACAACCCGCTGTCCGACGGTGGCTCCACAAGCTCCGGGTGCGATGCGGGGGGGAGCGCGTACATGTGCAGCGGCCAGTCGCCCTGGGCCGTCAACGACGACCTCGCGTACGGGTGGGCAGCCGTGAGAATCGTCGGAGGCACCGAGGCTGAGTGGTGCTGCGCCTGCTACGAGCTCACCTTCACGAGCGGGCTCGTGACTGGGAAGAAGATGATCGTGCAGACCACGAACACCGGCGGGGACTTGGGACAGAACCATTTCGACATTGCTGTGAGTTCGCATACTGCTTTAACCCTTCACTTGCATGCTGGCCGTTTACCGTTGGCTGTTCGGAGTTGCGGTATGCCTGGTGGTGGTCCATGACATACAGTTGACCCCACGCCTTGACAAGAGCCGGGAACGCGATCGGCCATCCAGCATGCAATTCAAGATCAAGCAATAGTTCCAAAAAGAAAGAAGAAGGAGAGATAAATAAGTAAGAAAGAAAAAACAAAAAGCTGACTAGAACCGTCCACAGGTCCCCGGCGGTGGGGTCGGCATATTCAACGCTTGTACGGATCAGTACGGAGCACCAGCCAACGGGTGGGGCCAGCGGTACGGCGGCGTCAGCTCCCGCTCCGAGTGCGATGGGTTCCCGGAGAAGCTCAAGGCCGGGTGTTACTGGCGGTTTGACTGGTTCAAGGGCGCCGACAACCCGGCGATCTCTTTCAAGCAGGTGACATGCCCGGCGGAGCTCACCAACAAGAGCGGCTGCAGGCGACAAGGGTAGACGAGCATCTACCTCGAAAGCATGGGCGCAATTCTTCCCGTCGAGGCTGGATCCCATCCGTAAGTGTAGTGTGTAGGTGCGTTACAAGCTCTTGTGGCACTGCATTCTGGTGGACATGGCCTTGCACTGCTTCTTGTGTAGAGGGGGGCGGGAGGGAGGAAAGGAAATAAAGGCCAACCCTTATTTCGAGCAAGCTAGGTCTCGACCATGATATTTGAGACCACTGTGATAGGGAGGCTTCGTAACAAACCGCTGTCACGAAATAGAGCCTGGAGGCTTGGCTCCCCGATCTTCTCCCGACCGGCGTGCGCAGAGTCCCCGTCTCTTTGGGGTTTGTGGCAACGCATGCAAACAAAAATTATTTGGGATAACTTCTCCCTACGTTTTACTTAGGCAAAGTCAATTGGAACCACTTGGCAAGCTATAACAGACGTGCACTAACCGTTTTGATGCCCGCCGTTATCGAGTGCTATTGACAAGATGGGCGCAAACCATGGCTGTGGGCTGGGCAAGCGAAGGGCGACCCTCGTGTTTTCGGGGCCACAGCTCTGCAACCCCCAGGACGCATACAGCCAAGACAGATGGCCATGAAACTCACCTGAGTGTAATACCGTCCGCCCAAGAAATATGACTGTCGGCACAGACCCTGAAGGCAAACCTCTCTATGATGGCAGCTGTTGCGAGATGTTGATAAGGTCGGCCACGCTCGATAAAATCAGAGCCGATCAGGAATCGTACATTTGCGCTCCCCTCTTCGTCGGGGGGCATATTTGTGTAGTAGTGGGTCGTGCCGCGCTGACGAATCCGATCCTAGGCGTGCGTATAGCATGACGTAGGGACGATCATCGGCTTCTCTTGCCGGATGAGACAAGGGATGGCGCCCGGCCGCGGCTAAGAGCCTGTGATATACCGAGCGGTGAGCGCAGTACAAGGGAAACGAGGGGGGGCAGTTCGGCATTTTCGGCTTACCTGGAAGAAGCGGCGAAGGGGTCAGACAACTGATTAATAACGACTCTCGAGATCCTGTTACAGTATCATTAAGACCGGATCAGTTTCGTCTAAGCATATGGCATCTGTGACTCTGTCAACAAGGATCGGGCTGCAAAACAGCCGTCACAGGCGTCAGTGTCCTAGTGGATGGCACCAGCATGGATGTGAGGGGTACTTGGTGTCAATACTCTCCGTGTACCCTGCTCGTACAACGAAGTGGCTCTGCACGGCATAGCAAACATTCGGGAACTTTCTCAGAATCGCATCGCAGTAACGACAATTTGCCCGGCCATAGTGTCAAGGTAAGGAGTCTGTTGTCGATAGGGTGCTCCCCTAGCGCCATCATGGAAGTCGACATTGAAGGATGCCAAGGCGGGATGCCAAGGCGGGATGCCAAGACGAGATGCCAAGACGGGGAGTGACGGAGACTAGAAGGCAAGGCACCGTCGCTAGAAGTTTTCCCTGTAGGCTGTATTGCCGCGGAACAAACATCGTTGGATCCCGGGTGCTGAAGTTGGCATCGGTATCCATTCCAATCGTTGGCACAAGAGACGTTCTTACCCGACTGTTGAACGACATTGGCATGCAGGCCGCGCAATCTACTTTTTCAATAGTCGAGCGTTGAGAGGCGGTCCGAGTGTGGGCACCGCGGCCGAAATTCCTCTCGTGCAAGGTCAGTGAGTTTGCTCGGAGCTGCGTACCTCGTACGATATCATGGTCGGCCAAGGGACAAATGCCGTTGCTATGCCATATGACATGCTCCAAGGTTCCCAAGGCTTGCCAGGATAAACGACGCGAAATGGGCATGTGTCACACATGCAAGACCCACGAGTCGAGGGTTTGTTCGCCTGTTGAGAACACAAGAGGCGTGCCGTATCGCTGGGAATCCCAATGGAGAAAATGCCGGGAACGACCGGGCGGCATAGTCGAGGTGGTGGACACATCGATCGATGCGACTTGGTGCAGGTCAAGGTCGACAATTGTCGGCACAGGTTGCCGCGCATGGCGTTTGAGCCTTTTGGGGCGGGAAAACGCTATGTCGAAAGGGTGCGTGGGAATGCCACACCGCGCGTCAGGAAAACAGACCCGGCACCGCTGGGAGCATACCGTCTTGGATCGTTGAACCGAACATTGCCGCACCATCGCTGCAGACCATGGACCAAAGAAGAGTCGTTGACGTGACGGCCCTCGTTCCCTCGCGTCTCCATTGCGACAAGGCATACATGCAGTGATAGCACGGTATCCATAGCCGAGAAGTCGATGGATGGAGAGACAGGAGGACGTCTGTCTCTTTCTCTCCTGGTTCTTAGCTTCTGAAAGGGCGCTTGCTGTACGAGTGGTTCGGCAAGGGAGGGACCGAGTCAAACCGACGAATGACGGAGAACGGGAGTCGGCACGGACGAACGGGGGAGACCGCTGGGAAGATCAGACAAGCTTCGAGGCAATGAAAAGCTTAGCAGCGATGACCTGCGGTCTGATGATCATCAAGCGGATCGTGCTGGGTGCCGATGCGTGTATTGGTACAATGTAGACAGGCTAACACGGCAAGGTAGCGTAATGTAGAGAGATTGTCTGACTTGTTGAGCTCGCAGCATATGTCGTGACAAAGGACGACGGCACAAACGGCAACCGCGTGGCTGACTTGCGGATGCCAGGGTTTGTTGGCGGTGGCACACCTATCCACTCGCGCCGCCGGCAGGTGCGGCAGGTGCGGCAGGTAGGTGCAGGGTGGAGGCCTTGGGGGGTTCATTTTTTTTTTTCTTCGGGCTTGACTGTTGCCGGTTTGGCGGCTGACAGTGCCTGTTAGTTTCAGGCATCCCATTCGGACTACGGTGTCTACAGCAGACTGCAATATTGAAAGAGGACCGCTATAACGAAAGAATAGATAGATAGAGATGAATATGTGGATAGGTGGATAGAGAGAGAGAGAGAGAGCAAGAGCAGCTGGCCTCTGTGTCTGCTATTCGTCTGGGATCAACCCATACATCTTGGTACCTAAAGTAACTGAGCACGCGGGTTCGAAACAGCCACCGTCGGTTTCTCAGAGGCAGTCAGTATTGACGGGCAGTGTATTTTGCAAAAGCTGAGGTAGGTGCTTGCCCGCTCGGCTCCGATACTTAGGTAGGTACTACGGTACGCTGGTAAGGGAGGTGGATAGGTAGGTAGGTAGGTATCTCTGTTAGTGGGGCACGGATCTTGGAGGAGACGAGAATACTTAGCCGCTACCTCGAGGAACTCTGAACGGCCTATATTGGCGAGGCCCCACTCCACCAACTTCGCCCGCCCACCAGATGTTGGCGCACCTTTGGTTTACATCCGTCTCAAGCCTTACACCTCGCACCCCGTCTTTGACCCACATAGCATTTCCCTTTCCCCAAATAATGGAGCGTTCCATTTCTGGTTACAACAAATACTCGCTCACTCGGCGAGGAAAGGAAACAAAAGAGGGAAAAAGACTGGATGACTGACGCCAGCATAGCCCGAACACGCACAATGGCCGTCCGGAACAATGTAACCACGACAAAAACTTTGGATGGACTATAACTCCATGAGCATTTGACCGGGTAGGCGCATGCTCTCTCATCCTGACATGAGCAAAGGAAAAGGAAAAAAACACAACGACAACAATGACGAGGGCGAGGATAGCCAGGACAGGGGGCTGTGCAACTGTTCTATTGCCTCCTCTTACATGTATGTACCTTACCGTACCTACCTCCCAATGTAATGCTCAGCAGGGTCAGGCAGTTATGGGGGTGTGAAGACTCCAAGTACCTACCTCCTGGTGCGCGCCTCTCAGTGCCCGACACACTTTATTACCCAGCGCCTTCGCTACGAATAACTGTTTCCAAACCCTTTTCTCTCTCCCTCGCCCTCTCGCTCTCTTACCTACTCCCTTCTTCCCTGCCCCCTTCTTCCCTGCCCCCTGCTTTTGCTTTGCTTCCCCGGCTCTGCTGCTATCGCATCATCCGTCCCGTCCGCCAGCTTTCATCCAGTCTATCCGTTCAATTCAATCCATCATCCATAATCCATCCCACCGAAGCCGCCCGCACACAAACACGCTCACACCCCCGACCTGGATCGGGTTAGACCTGGTCCTGGTCCCCCCCTCATTGACGAGATCAGTGTGCAAGTGCAATACCTAGTGCACCGGCATCGCACTAGGAACGAACCTGATTTGAACCCCTCTTGGCATTGAAAATCGCGCCGGCCCCAGCTCTACATTGATACTCTCTCCCTCTCTTAGCTCGCGACTCCCCATCATCTCTCTGCCTGCTTTCTTACCAAATCCAACCCTACAACTAGGACCGCATTGCGGCCCTTTCCTGTGCAAGACGTTCAAATTCAGGTGCCGAGGCTCATCCAGTCCATTCCAGCCCGACAAATCCCCGTATTCCTTCGCCTTACCGACCGATCCGAACTGCAATCTACTCGTCGTACCCGCCTCGCCTGTTCAGTTCCCTAACCCGACATCCGCAGCCAGTCCGCCAACCCGTCCACCAAAGGTTGATGGTTTCAATGCCCTCAACCAGTTCGCTGAACATGTGAGAAAAGCATGTGTAAGTCATTTTTGGAACACTCTCGGATCTATCATCTTTGAATATGCGCAAAGAAAGTCGACGGTCCTGTTCAACCCAACTAGGCCAGCGTTTGGCAGGCTCTGCTTCCTTCGTTGTCAACAAGTACCAAAATGCACACAGTCTTGGCGCCCTTTGCTGACGTCTCGCAGCTCTCGAACAGGTTCGAAATGTCGTGTATGTCTCGACCAATTTCTTGTTGTGTTCGCTGCTGTTGAAACCCCCCTCAATCCGTGCTTGCCGTTGATGCACGCTGCCCTGTCCGATGCTGGCTTTCCGATCATGGCCACACCATCCCGTAACTCTTGGCCCGGTGTCGCGTTACCTCTCAAACGTTGCTCTCGTGGGCGCATCTCGCCGCGTTGCCTCCCCACCATCCACTCTCCCTCTTCACCGCTCGATTTCAGCGCCTTTGATACTAACTAGCCGTTGTGCAGTCTGCTGTTCAGTAATCCTGTCTGGTCAGGTGCAAACACCATCCCATCGACTCTCATTAAAAACATCACTTCTCTCTCGGTCGGTCTTTCAGTCGCCTTGGTCTTGCCCCTATGTCTTGGTCTAACCCAGCGTGCAGACTTCCTTGGCCTACCAAGATACCATCTCAGCAAATCTCACCACACTGAGCTCTATAAACTCCGAAACACAGGATGGGGTTATTCGAGGTCTGCTCTACGTGCCAGACCTCAGCACCAGCGACCCATGTTACGAACAGCAGTACGGCATCATTCCTCGAAATGCCACCACCCAGGCGAGCCTGCCCCCCACCAACTACAACTTGATTGCTCTTGCGCCATGGTTCAACACCTCTTGTACCAAAGCCTACCTTGCATCCGCCCGCCTCGACCCCATTCGCGCTTTCGTCTTCTACCGGCCCGACAATTCAACGAGGGAGCCACAAGACGCCGACTCGCCCTTGTGGGATCTCGACGATGGCGGTGCCTGGCGTTACCAGAACCGATATCCTATATTCGCCATATCTGGCGCCGAAGGCCACAAAATGATGCACCAACTTAGTCTCTACTCTGGCAACATATCCCAAATCCCTCACGGAGACCAGATAGCGCAAAGATACGACCCCCATGACGACGACTATGTCCGTATATGGACCGAGCTGACGGTGAAGGACCGTGGCAGTGTCCCCGCAATGTGGACCTGGATTCTTACAGTTGTCGGCGTTGTATTGTTCATTATTGCCTGTCTGTCGCTCACAATGCACCTAGTGCAGCGAAGACGCAGAATATCACTACGTAGGAGGGTTTTAAGTGGCGAAGTCGACTTAGAAGCGATGGGCATCCAACGCGTCACAGTGCCAGTCACTCATGTCAAGGGCTTTCCATTATTCACGTACAGTTTTCAGCCGGACATGATTGGTACACCTTCTACAATGAGGCCTGCGAAATCGACCAGGTCACCGCGAAGCATGCGGGCCGATCAACGCACCATATCCGAGTCCACCACAAGCAGATCCAGAGCGAGGAGAGGCAGTCAGAACAGCGCGACAAGTACCGTCGCAACGAATTATCAACCGCAATGCCATATCTGCCTGGAGTATTATGTGGACCGAGAATCCATCATTCGAGAGTTATCCTGCGGCCACATTTTCCATCCCGAATGTATCGACGAATTTCTCGGCCTGAACAGTTCGCTATGCCCGATTTGCAAGAGGAATATGCTACCACCCAATTACTGTCCAAAAATCTCCAACGGCATGGTACGCCGTGAGCGGGCGATTCGGCGTTTAAGGGAAAGGGTAGTGTTCGACGAGTCAGACAACGAGGATGCGGAGGTGAAGAACAAAAACTGGGGCAAGTGGCTATTCGGCACGGACAAAACGGCATCGTCACCGACAGAAACACCAATGACATCCGTCATCCCCTCGAAGCCTCCAAAGGCAGGTCAAGATGCAGCCAACACTAGAACTCCTTCGGGCCTGGAGGCCGCATCCTTGTCACGAACACTTGAGCCTACTCAAGAGGAGCAAGAGGATTCGGAACAACCCTCAAGTCGATCCGAAGGTCGAGAACCACCGCGACCGCCGCCTCTGCCAGCTGCGGTAGCTCAGCACTCTCATCGAAACAAACGCCATTTAATAGGCGGGTCGCGGGTTCATGCTCCTTCGCCGAATGACTCGAAGCAGGCCCACCAACGACCAGAAGGGCGTAAGAGCCCCTCGGCGTTAGCACGGGCGCGGATGAGAGCGCTCGCAGGCTCACCTTTCGATGACCCGGATGGACGCTCACCAGCATGTAAGTATTGGGATGTTAAGAGTTTCGAATATTTATTAATTGAGACTGCAGGGAAACGCTACGTCGTAAAGGTCTTCCCAGGCTTTTCATGACCCGGAAATCTCACAGGCATTCTATTCAGTTTGGCTTCGCATGGTGCAACGGCGTTTTGGGTTCAGGCAGAGGGACTGCCTCAGGGGCGCATTTTGAAAAGAACATGACGGAATATGATGATATATACCAACGACACTCCCTCACTACTACCCTCTGACAGGGTGATGAGGAGACAGATTCACTTCTGTCGCGATGATTAGATTCGGCGGGCTTGAAGACGCCCTTAACAGTTATACTTTGGCATGGGAACGCTCTTCATGGGACTTGGCCTGGAGTCCCAACTTTTTGGACTGGATATACCCCATTGGGAAAGGACATGCATCTAATGGCGATTTGGGGGTGCCACGCATGTTATTAAAAGTTTAGTGTATGATGGTGGCCGCCGATTTCGCGCCGCCGGTCGGAGAGCTTCCGAGGCAAGCAGGCCTCTGGGTCAATTGCATCCTTAATGGAGATATTAAACCTACTGCTGCATTTCCATTCTCCTTTGAAGTACCTCTCCACGCGTTTAATTATGTGCTCCAGCGAAGAAAAAAAAAAACAGAAAAGAAATCATAATAACAACAACAATAAATCGATGTGGATTTACACACAAACGTTGTGTCCTGTCGCTCCTGTAACTTTCGTTTCGTCCGAATCTCTATAATATATACCAACTTTGATCCAATTTGTTTCGCCAAGCCAAACGCCTGCCCATCTCAATGACGAGGTTTATGTACTACAAATAAGCTCTGGAAAGTTTCATCCGCTCTCAGTCTTGGCATTCCATCTTTCAGCCAGGGACCCTCTGGAGAGTTCTCCTCATGATCGGCCGTCAATGAGCTTATCGTCCTCCTTGTTGCCGCCCCTCGCCAACGCCTCGCGAATGCGATCGTTTTCGTTAGCGCGGATCCGCTGCCGTGCATCCTCAAGCCGTTCCACACCGCGGTCGATCGTCTCGATATGCACGGTCAGCGGGACTGCGGCGACTGAGTCACGGGTAAGCTCTGGCGCGGCGATGCGGTCGCGAAGATCGCCCAGGCCAGCCTGAATCTTTTCGAGGTCGACTATGAGCGCTGATACCTGAGCGACTGCCGTGCTGCGCTGACGGTCCACCTGTCGAAGTAAGGAGAGTTGGGCGTTGAGGTTATGCAGTCGTTTGTTATTCGCCCCGACAAGGGTCCACAGCGTCCAAAGAACCTCGTCGCGACGAGACTTGACAAAATTCGACGAACGCGTGACAAGCTCGTAAATTTGGTTGAGATTCTCCTCGGCTTTTGTAAGGAGAAGTAGCAACCCTTGTGCCTCAACGATAAGCGAAGAGATGCGGTCGGAAACCATAGCAGTATGCTCGATATACTTGTCGAGAAGGGTCCGTTCTGAGAATGGCGTTACGGTAGGCGTGAATGGGTAGAAAAACCAGCTGGTCCACTCAGAGATGACACCGACGTCGGTGGTCTCTGAGGCAGAGAGTGTGTCCAGGTAGCGAGATGTCCAGCGGTTGATGGAGATAACGGAATCAACAGCGGATCCAACATGAACGTTGAACTTTTGCAAATCAGCAGCTGTCAAACGCACAGTCTCGATATACTCGTTGAATTCATAGACAAGCTCATCCCGCTGCGGCAATTCCGAGTAGCGAACCATAGTACGCAAGTCACGAATCGATGACTCGGAGCGCTTCATTTCCATGGGTAATGAAACACCGTCGGCGCTGCGTTCGAGAACCTGTTCAAATTGAGACTGAACGTTCATGAGATCGTCAAACTCGACGTTTGAAGACCTAGAGTCTTGGCCACCGCTGGTAGACGATGCGAACGAAGGGCAGAACGGAAGGTCCAGATATGCCGCTCCTGGGATACGACAAAGCGGCGAGAGAGATGTTGTTATTGACTTGGTAACCAAGTTTTGAAGCATGATGGAGGCCCCAAAGAAGAGCCAAATAGCCAAGCAAAGCGCCAATGGCTTTTGGATGTAGCTAAGAGCCATACCAATGACATTAAAGACCCAGGCCAGGATGTTGAATATTGCGCCTGGTAAAGATTCTGACAGGCGTTCTGTGACAGTTCTTTGCTTCTCAGCCGTATTGTCGTAGTAGCCTCTACCCCTGCTGGTATCGCCGCGTCGCACCTTCACGGGACTCCCGGTGCTTGCTTGGCGCATGGCACGGCGCCGCACATCTTGCTGCTGGTATGGATCGTCACCCGGGCGAATGGTCCGCGACGACCGGCCACTGTTCTGCCGGGGGCTGGTACTACTACCAGGGGTAGCGCTGAAGCGCATCGACGGCATGACAAACTCCGGGTCCGGAGAACGGTTGGGATCCCGCCGAACGGTAGGTTGGAAGGGCGAACGGAGAATGACGCGTTCATCGTCTGCCTTGTTCATGAAGTCCTGAACGCTATGATGGGACTCTTGTGAGCCGCTGATGCTGAATGACTGCGAAGGAATCTGCGATGGGTCTGTGGAGAGGAAACCCTCATCCTCCTCGAGATCAGGGAGTATAGAGGTGTCGAAGCTGTCATTTTCGCCACCCTCGACCAGGCGCCAACTGCTCTCAACTGGGAGGTCTTGCCGACGTCGCGGAGGCATCGTAAATAAACTTGTGTTGATGAAGCCTTGGGGTGACCTCTTGTTGTTTGAGCCCAGCACAGAAGCAAAGATAAATGAGCCGGATGTCTTGGCGCCAGCTAGATAATCTTGAGTAAAGTCAACAACCTTGAGGCAGAGGCGCGGACTGTAGATGTTGTCGAGACGCGCTTACCGCGTACAGTGGCAAATTTAATGAAAGGGTCGCGAAATGCGGCCACTTCAATACTTAATAAGGGTGCGTAGAAACGATGTCAATGTTTCTAAAATACCCTCGAGTGAGTCATAAGGCGGGAGCTAAAAAGTAGAAACCGTTACAACGGCTGAGGGCAAAATTAGGCAGAGACAAAGATCAAGGTTGGTTAAGTATGTATGGTTGAGGTTCACAGAAGTTCACGCACTCGGTTTCCCCTCTGGCGTCATAGGCTCCGATGAGCGTCCCTTGCATGCGCCGCAGCTGTCGCGAGGGCCTGGCGGCTTCTAATAGTGGGTAGCTTCCTCCGCCAAATCCGCTGAATTGGCAGCAGCAGGGACCATGTGGCAGCGTGACTCGACAGTGATAAGCTTCGCTTCCCCTGGTCGTCACATGGACCAGGCGATAAGGCATGCGGAGGGTGCAACACCCCACGTTGCGCCTGCTTGTCAACAGGAGCCGGCATCTCGGTAAAATATAAAGCCGATGCCCGGGGAGCGTTGGCTTTGCCCCACTTAGCTCCGGCGCGATTTCCACCACGTCAGTCAGGTCTAGATGAAGGTCGGAATTTGAGTAGACTTACCTGCTTTAACGCACGTTCAACCACCTCGTTTTTAACAAATTCCATTCTGCGTCGTGCGCGACAGAAACTTGCCTGCCACCATATCAACCTCGCATAACTTGACCGCCCGCGATGTCGACAGGCATGGATCAACGCGAGCTTGAATCCTGCATCAAGCAGCTCAACAAAATCGTCCAGGCGAACGAGCCCCCTACGACTGCCCTTGCTCTCCTTGAGCGGCTGAAAAAGGAAGCCGCCCCTACGGAGGAGATGCTCAGGGTAAGTGACGATTGATATTATTTATCAAGCGGTCAAAGCCGCGCTAGTTCATCTCATGCATTGCGTCTGCGATGCCACATTTACGCACATATAATATAAAACTGACCTGTGTGCTCTCATGTAGTCCAGTAGAGCTGGTGTCTTTGTCGGCAAGCTTCGATCGAACTCGAACAAGGACATCGCCCGAGCAGCTACCGAACTTGTCCACAAATGGAAGAAGCTCGTCGAGGCCGAGAAGCAGGGCAAGATCAAGAAGCAGTCGTCCCCCGCGGCTCCGTCTCCGACCCAGGCCTCCGCACCAAAGCCCTCCTCGTCAAACGCGATGAACCAACCCTTCAAGGGCAATCCAGAGCTCCGTCGTGCCAAGACCGATGGCTGTGACACCAAGCGTACCGGTGACGAAACGCGCGATTCCTGCATTGAGCTGATCTACAACGGTCTCGCTTACCGATCTACCGCCCCCATTAACGATGTTCTTACAAAGGCCGTCGCCGTGGAGTATGCTGCATACACCCACTTTAAGGGTGTCACCAAGGAGTACCGTGAGAAGCTGCGCTCCTTGTTCAGCAATCTCAAGGTCAAGAGCAACCGTCAGCTGGGTGTCAACGTCATGGAGGGGAAGATTGCCCCGGAGCGGTTCGTGGTCATGACCCATGAGGAGCTCAAGTCGGATGAGCAACGGAAGAAGGAGGACGCCCTTCAACAAGAGAACATGAAGAAGGCCCAGGTCCCCATGGCCGAGAAGAGCATCAGCGATGCTCTCAAGTGTGGCAAATGCGGTCAGAAGAAGGTTAGCTACAGCCAGGCGCAGACGCGCAGTGCTGATGAACCGATGACGACATTCTGCGAGTGTACTGTCTGCGGGAATCGCTGGAAGGTTCGTTTTCCACGTTTCCACTTTTCTCGTTTTCGAAAATACTGACAAGTCTCCAGTTCTCTTGAGCGCGCGATTCCATGGAGGGGAGGTTCTCACTTGTTTTCGACCGACGGCGTGATTTTTCGCTTATACCTGAGGCACGGGATGGTCTTGCATTTGGCACTCGACAGTGGTGCGGTTTTGGTTGGTACGGAGTTGGGGATGAGGAAAGGGCCTCTTTTTGCTCCTTTTAAACTATTCTTTTTTGGCCCCGAGCACTTTCGCCGCTTCTTTAGAGTGGATTTACTCAGAAAAGAATTACACTCTAGAAGGGACTTTCGGTAGATCCACATTCAGGGAGGGGTAGCCGCCGATCTCAAAATAGAGACGAACAGTTGGGCTATCGCAACGAGCCTACACGGTGTCGATGGCCTCAAATCGTGCCTGTTCTGTTCACTGCTTCGCTGGGTCAATCTTCAACACTGAAAATAGATCGGCCGAGTGCTCGTCCTCCTCCAAACCCATCGCCGCTACATGCTTCCAGAATTTGCTAAGGTGCCTAGTGCCCGAGTCGCAAAGGATCGTGACGACTTGGCTGCCCTTGGGCAGTCGTGTGGCCGCAACAACCGCCGCAACGCAGTTGACAGCACTGCTGCTGCCTGCAAAGATACCATCCTTCTCCACCAACCACCTAGCCATGCGGCACGCCTGCTCATCCGTTACCTTGATCGCGTCGTCAATCAGCTCCCGGCCTGCCTCAAAGTTCTCAGTCACCCGGTTGATGCCGATTCCCTCCACGATCGTGTCGACCTGCTGCCGCCGTCGTGTCCCCTCCTTCTCCGTGTTGGAATACATGACGCCGTGTCGGATCTTGTTGTATAGTCCGCTGCCCTGGGGATCGGCTAAAATGACCTGTAGACCCGGTAGGCGGGCCTCCTCCTTCAAGTACTTAGCCACGCCCGCAATTGTTCCGCCCGTGCCGGCGCCGGCTACGAAGGCACCCAGGGTGCCGCCGGTCTGGTACACAATCTCGGGACCTGTGGTGTGCAAGTGCGCCGCAAAGTTGGCCGGGTTCTCGAACTGGTCTGCAAAGTAGCCCACGCTGCCGTCGCCCGCCTTGGCGGCGTGCTCCACAGCCCGCCGTCTCGCAAGATTTACAAAGTGGTCGGGCGACGCAATCGGCGCCGGATCCACGCGCTCAACTATTGCGCCGAGATGACGGAGCAGATCGACCTTTTCCATAGCCATGTCGTTGGGCATGCAGATGTGCGCGCGGTAACCCCTCGCGCGTGCCAGCGTCGCTAGCGAGATCCCTGTGCTGCCAACGGTACCCTCATAAATGGTGTCGCCGCGCCCGGGGACGAGCTGGCCGGCGGCCTCGGCGGCCTCGATCATGGACAGCGCGACACGGTCCTTGGGTGTGTTGCCTGCGGCGTTAAGGAACTCGGCCTTGGCTAGGATGGTGCGCCCCGTCGCCTCGCTCAGGGAGCGGATCTTGATGAGAGGGGTGTTGCCGATGGCGCCGGCAACGCCGTCTGCGATTAAAGGTGGATTCCACGTGGCGCCTGCTGCGAGGGCCGCCGCCTCACCAGCTTCGGATGCGGTCTCATGGTCTTCAAGCTGCAGGGGCGGTCCCCAGAAGAGGCTGCTACGCCGGGAAGGGTCCGTGGAGGACGAGCCGCCGGTGGGATCCCGGCGGGTACGGCGGCGCTGGTAGCGGCGCTCGAGGTCGGGATAGAAGTCTTTGAAGCCCAGTGTGACGAGGATGCCGGCCGCGAAGGCGAGCGCCAGGGCGGCCGAGCCATATGCTTTCGGATGGTTGCTCAGAGACATGTTGTCTGTGTCATGTGCCGTGCTCCATCGTTCACATGAGTCCCCGCGGCCGTTTTTGTTGTGGTAGTTGTTGCGGTCTCGGAGGGCTCGAGAATGCGAGAGAGAGAGATGGAACAAAAAGGAGAGCGCATGAATTTCTCACCATCTTTTTTTACATGGGACTTGCCCGCTGCACGGTGGGGTGATGTCATTTTAGCTCTTCAGGACCCCTGGATTGAGCCTCAGCATGCGCTGCGCCTGACAACTCACGAGTCCCGAGGACTTACTAGGGCGCCTCGGCAGGCACCCTGCTGAACAAATTGCAAACCTACCTACCTAGTACGGCGGATTAACAGCTACCCCGTCAATCTCGAAAGAGGGAGCTCGGGCCACGCTCGAACCTTTGCCAACACGCGGAGCCGACGATTTGCGGTTTTTGGTCCAATGTTGACTTTCAACCCCTTCCCATTCTGTCCTGCGATCTCCTGCACGAACTTCCCCCCGGGATGGACTCCCCCGCCGTCACCCGCCTCTTTCGCGAGCTCTTCCGCCGTCCCGCGTGTCAATCCCGCCGGCATTGCACAACTGCCGCCGCCGCCGCCCTGCCGACTTTGAGCCAACATCAACCTCGTCCTCATAATCACCGCAACCACAATGCCTTCGCAGCTGCAGCTGCACCGTCGGCGGGCTGCAAGGCCCCGTCCGCGCCTCAACAACGGCGGCACTATGCCGTAAAGACGTCCTCCGAGAGACAGGAAAAGACGAATGAATCCAAGTGGCAGCAGCGGACGTCCCTCTTCCCGATTGACCGCGCGGATGAGTTTGATACCTACCCGGTACTCAGCGCACACGACTTGGCCGCCCGCTCGACGCGCCCGCGCAAGGTCAAAATGCTCACTCGCGACTTCATCGAAGATAGCCTATACAACCCAGCGTACGGCTACTTCTCCACGCAAGCCGTCATCTTCTCTCCCGGTCAACCCTTCGACTTCCCTGCCTTCCGTGACGAGCCGCACTTCTTCCGCGAGCTGGGCCGGCGGTACACCGAGTTCGAGGACGAGCTTGACGACAAAGAGGGGGTCAATAGTGCTCGTCCGCTTTGGCACACGCCCACTGAGCTGTTCAGGCCTTACTATGGCGAGGCCATCGCCCGTTACCTCGTCTCCAACTACCGCCTCACGACGTACCCCTACCACGATCTCATCATCTACGAAATGGGCGCCGGCCGCGGCACGCTCATGCTCAACATCCTTGACTACATTCGTGACCTCGATCCTCAGGTCTACGCTCGCACGCAGTACCGCATCATTGAAATCTCTCCGGCCCTCGCCTCGCTACAGCGTCACCACCTCCTCTCGACCGCCGACTCGCGCGGCCACGCCTCCAAAGTGGAGATCATCAACAAGTCCATATTCTCCTGGTCGGAGCGCGTCCCCTCGCCGTGCTTCTTTCTTGCCATGGAGGTTTTTGACAACTTTTCCCACGACTGCGTGCGCTACGATCTGGCCACCGAGGAGCCCCTCCAGGGCTCCGTCCTGATCGACGCCGACAACGACTTTTACGAGTTCTACTCCCCGGACCTCGACCCCGTCCTCGCCCGCTTCCTGCGCGTCCGCCACGCCGCCACGGGAGGCCGCTATCCAACCCCCTACCCGGCTAACCGCATGCTGCGCCACCTCAAGTCGCGTCTGCCGCTGATGCCGAACCTATCAGAGCCTGAGTACATCCCAACCCGCCTGATGCAGTTCTTCGACGTGCTGGAGAAGTACTTTCCCGCCCACCGCCTTGTTACGAGCGACTTCCACTCCCTCCCGGATGCCATTCCGGGCCTCAACGCGCCCGTTGTGCAGACGCGGTATGAGCGCAAGACGGTGCCTGTGACAACGCCTTTGGTGAGACGCCGTCCTCACTCTGGCTGAGCGAGACAAGGATTGCTAACCAGCTGTACAGGTCCACCAGGGCTATTTCGATATTATGTTCCCGACTGATTTTCAAACCATGGAAGCCATGTATCAGGCTATCACCGGCAAGCTCACGAGGCTCACATCGCATGGCGACTTCATGCAGCGATGGGCGTTTCTCGAGGACACCCAGACACGCAGCGGGGAGAACCCTCTGCTCAGTTATTATGAGAATGCCAGCGTGCTGGTCACTGTATAAACACATAGAAAGAGTATGCCCATTGGGGGGCACTCCCGCATTGGCTTATACTTTTGAACTCTGTTTGCTTTGCCTGATGTTGATTGTTCCAACACATAGCAGCAAGCTGAGAGGAACAAGCTTTTGATATTTCAGTACTCCTGAGTGATCATCCTCCATAACCGCAACGTAAACATATCGTCGCCCATGTTTCTATCCATCTAATTCCTCGGTATAAAGCAAATCATTGTTGCCAGGCATGCTTCTGCAGCACGCCGGCGGGAATCTCATGTCACTCAAATGTTGAGCTTCTCCTTGAGCCACTTCTCCGCCGTGGCGACAGCCTCGTCCAAGTTCTCGGCCTTGGTGCCCTGTCCTTGACGGGTAGGTTCCTTGCCACCGGATTTGCCTCCCACGATTCCACTCACTTGGGCGGCCCATTGCTCGGCGGTGACACCCTGGGAAGACAGGTGCTAGACTTTGTGTTAGCTTCGGCTCATAACGAGTCTTTGTAGTGACAACATACAGTTCCAACGTAAACACCGTGGGCAACAGAGCCCTCGCCCTTGCTTCCACCGAAGAGATAAACAGAGCGTTCTTTGTCCTTGGACTGGAAGTGCTTGACAACTTCACCGATGGCCTTGGCGTTGGCAGAAATGGGGAGCTGGCCGACGAACCATTTGGAGTCCTTGTTCTTGTCGAAGTGGGCGACAACGGTATCGAGCGCAGTCTTGGCCTCGGCCTTCTGGCGCTTCTTCTGCTCATCCGTTACAGCCTTGATGATCTTGTCGAAGCGCTTCTTAATGTCCTCCTTAGTGAGAGTAGAGATGGTCAGCTGGTTGAGGGCGTGTTGCGTTGTCTTGATCTCTTGCTCCTTTTCAGGACCAAAAGGCAACACCTCGAGGGCATCCAATCGCTTGGAGAACTCGTCAGCCTCACGCTGCACTTGGTGTGCAGCATCGCCAGTGTAGGCGATGATGCGGCGGATACCCTTGGCAATACCGCTCTCCTCAACAATGACGAGGTCCTTGATCAGCCCCGTCTGGTCGACGTGCGTACCACCACAGAACTCAACGCTAATCTTGCGCCACTCGGGGTTCTTGGGGTTGGCAAGCAGAGTGTCGACATCAACACCGACGGACACAACACGAACAGGGTTGGGATACGTCTCGCCGAAAACTGCGCGAACGCCCTCAATTCCCTTGGCCAGGTCGAGATCTACTTCCTTGGCGTAGATCTTGCCATTCTGGCGAATATAAGAATTGGAGAAATCCTCAATCTTCTTCAACTCAGGAATGGTGACACCCGTCTTGTGGGAAAAGTCGAAACGCAACTTCTCGTTGTCAACCAGAGAACCCTTCTGGTTGACATCATCGCCGAGGACTTCCCGAAGAGAGTGGTTAAGGATATGAGTAGCCGAGTGGTTGTTGCGAATGGGAGACCTCCTCAGCTCGTCGTACTCGCAAATGACTTCGTTGCCAGAAGACAACACACCGTACTCAAGGTAACCGTTGTGGACAATGTAGCCTCCGTAGTTCTGCACGTCCAAGACTTTGAACTCGGCAACATCGTCAATGACGATGCGTCCGGTATCAGCGACTTGACCACCGGACTCGGCGTAAAAGTTGGTCTTGTTCAGCAGCAGACCGAGAGGAGTGTTCTCGGCAATGTCCTTGGTCGACTTGACGAAACCCTTGCCGTCGTAGATTAACTGCACCTTGGCCTTGGAGTCACCTTTGACGAACTTCGCATCGTCGTCGGTTCTCGCGACGTTCAGCTGCTGCTCGAGCTCGGCAATTTGGTGAACGTTAAGCTTTGCGAAAGTCTGGACAGAATTCTTGACGACCTTGCTGGCTTCGCGAGCCTTATCTTGAGCAGCCTTGACCTCGTCGTCATCGATCTCAAGCTTACGCTCCTCAGCCATCAGCTTGGTCAGATCCACGGGGAATCCAAAGGTGTCGTAAAGCCTCCACACCTCTGCGCCAGAGAGCCTCTTCTCGCCCTTCTTAATGGCAGCGTTGGCATACTTCTCAAACTGGGCCTCGCCACGGTCAAGGGTACGGGCAAAAGCCTCTTCCTCCTCGTCGAGGATCTCCCTGATATCATCCTGCTTCTTAACAATCTCGGGGAATTGCTCGCCCATTTGGTCAACAAGAGCAGGAAGAATCTTGGAGAAGAAGGAGCCGATCTCGGCGTTGAAGTACTTGCGAGCGTAACGAACACCGCGACGCAGAACTCGGCGGACAACGTATCCGCGGCCGTCATTGTTCGGAACAGCACCGTCGGACATGGAAAAGGTCAAAAGGCGGATGTGGTCAGCAATGACACGGTAGGCGGTGTCAATGCCGTCGACATCGTCAGCGCCGTACTTGTCGGTGTACGGCCTGGCACCAGTGACCTCCTCTACTCTCTTAAACAGAGGGGTGAAGATATCAGTAGCGTAGTTGGAGACCGTGTCCTGGAGAGCAGACACAAGGCGTTCAAAGCCCATACCAGTGTCGATGTGCTTTGCGGGCAGGGACTTAAGGGAGCGATCGGGTTGGCGGTCATACTGGATGAAAACGTTGTTCCAGATCTCGACAACCATCGGGTCATCCTGGTTGACCAGGTCGGAGGCGTTACGGCCGCCAATCTTGTCATAGTGAACCTCGCTGCAAGGGCCGCAAGGGCCTTGATCACCCATCTCCCAGAAGTTGTCCTTCATGTTGCCGGGCAGGATGTGGTCGTCAGGCACACCGACGGATTGCCACAGGCCCTTGGCCTCAAGGTCGGGCTCAAGGCCCATGTCGGGGTTGCCCTCGAAGTAGGTGACGTACAAACGGTTAGGATCCAGGCCGTAGACCTTGGTCAGAAGTTCCCAAGACCATTCAATGGCCTCCTTCTTGAAGTAATCTCCAAAGGACCAGTTGCCCAACATCTCGAAGAAGGTGTGGTGATAGCTGTCCTTGCCGACATCGTCAAGATCATTGTGCTTGCCACCAGCGCGAATGCACTTCTGGGTGTCAGTTGCACGCTTCAAAGAGTACATGGGGTCCGCCTTAGAGATTGTTCCGAGGAAAATGGGCTTGAATTGGTTCATGCCCGCGTTGGTGAAGAGCAAGGTGGGGTCATTGTGAGGGACGACGGAGGAGGAGGGCACTGTGATGGAGCAGGACAAGTTAGCCAAGTGAAGTGTTGCAAGCGGATCAAGACGTAACACCGGCAAGATGAAGCACCAAAGACGCGAGGTCTACTACAATGCCAGGTTGTGGTGGTGATTAGGGGGCGCTGGTGATATCGTACCGATGGTGTGGCCCCTCTTCTCGAAGAATTCGAGGAAAGTCTTGCGCACGACGACGCCGGGCCACTTTGGCTCAGCCATGACTGCAGTGGACAAGGTCGAACTTGATTGAAAGTGCCTCTGCGGGAAAATGGCACTCGCTGCGATGGATGCAGACAGCGTAGGGGTTGTTGTCTGGGGTCTGACCGACGCTCGAGTCCAGCAAAAAGAGGTTGCAACTGTTGATGTGGAGGTAGACGTTTTATCATAGGTGTGACTCTTTTGGCGGGACGAGCAGCTCGTTAGTGCGGCAGCTGCATCCCCATTGCTTCGGGGTAGGAGGGGCAGCGATAGCGGGAGCGGACGCGGGCGCAGACGTGGGAGGGGCGGCGAGGGGTCCTCTGGCCCAGCGCTTTCGTAGAAACTTCTACAAGCTCGCTGGGAATGAGTCAACGCCAGTACAAAAGCGCCAGAGCTCCCCAACGCAGGCCATACGCCACAGCTGAGCGCCAGCGAACGCACCCGCGCCCCTCGTAAGAGCACAGTAGCTTCTCGGGTCATTCCTCTGACTTCCCTTTCCCCTCAAATACAACCACCTGGACGGACGAATTGGAATTGCGCAGGAAGGTCGAAACGTCTCCTCTTTTGTCTCTTCCTCAACCTCTTGCGCTCTCAAACAAGGCACTCTCTCTTTGGCGCGGAAAAGCGAACAAGCAATAACGCGCTGTTGGCTGTGTCTTGCCAGCGAAAGACTGTTACGTTACCGAATCAACGTCATCTGGATTTCAGATTGACTTTGGAACTGCGTTCTTCGCTCTGCGACGGGATATTCCCTACTCTTCCGGAAACGGCGATTCAAGATTAACAGTACCGCGCCTTTACCACCTTACCTCGTATCTCGACTGCGAGCCCCGATTGGTGGCGGTCCTGTACGCGCTGCTGCTGCTGCTGCTGTGTCTCTTCGCTGCGGTTCCAGTGGCCGTTTTGGAGTTTCGGTCAATTGACCATCGCACCCGCTTTCGTCCTTATCGTCGTCGTTGTCTATTATCGTCGGTGTCGTAAGGTCGGGTCAGCCAGGCTTGTGGAAAAGGGAACTAGGTAGTTGGTAGTAGCAGTTGGGGGTTTCAGCAGGAAAGGGTTGCACGCGAGAAAGTTCCAGCAAAAAGTCGCCGAAATATGCTGCTGCACGGGGCGCAATCTCCCTCCCATGCGCTGGATTCCCACGCGATGGAGCCGGATCAGCACCAACATCATCAGGCGAGGCAGCTAAGGCGCAAAAGAAAAGCCGAGTTCCAAGACAACGAACGTTTGTCCAAACGACTCAGTCTTTTGAATCTAGGTAAGCCGAACCCACAAAAAAGGTTTCTTGGCGTCTTCTTGCGCTAACATCTGTATGCAGAGAAGAATGGCCAGAAGAAACTCAATGTCCCGGGGGAGGAGCCGGCTCCATCATCCATGGCCCCCAACGCTGTTTCCATGACTTCGTCGCCTTCTACCTCCCCCACCAGCCGTCGCCGCCGTCGCGACCGCAAACCACCACCATCCGATGAGGAAGTGATGCAGCTTGACGACACCAAGCACAAGGTTTATATTTTCAACATGGACGACGAGCTCTCCTCCTCTGAAAGCGAGCCCGACGATGGCAAGCTCGTCTTCCTACCTGACATAGAGAAGCACCTGCGCGCCACGCGCATTCCGTCATCCCTTCTGGCCAACCACGAAGGCCAGCTTGCCGGCATGCAGGTGGTTCTGTACAACGAGCCCGCCTCTCTGACTGTCCCACCCGAGCAAGACAGCGTTCGTAAGGCCATCGTCGAGTCCCGGACCCGTATGCGCGAGAGACAGCGTCTCGAACGCGAGGGTAAGGGTTCGCCGGTGCAGATGCCACCGCCGTTCGTCTCCCAGCAACCCGTAGGCACACTCATTTCCGGTTCCCAGCAGCCGGTCAGCGCAGTCAGACCGAATCATCCAGCCCCGAGTGAGACCTCAGCCTCAGTAGACTACGACCCCGACGCTATGGACGTTGACTAGGATGGTTAGAAACAAGGCAAGTGATTTATTTATTTATTTGTTTGTTCATAACGATACTCACGCCTGCCACGAATGTAAACGAGCTGTTCCAACGTGCCCACGGCATTTCACGAACCGGGGTCAGCGAGGCGTTTCAAAGGTATCATTTTCAAATCGTATTGGGAGGAATATTCCTATGTTGTACAATATACAGTCGTTAGGTTCAAGGCGTCCAGTCCTCGGTGCACGAGGCGTCTAGCCTCAATGGTCATGAGGCCTTGCGGCCTTTATATGGTGAACGTCCCCCTTCTCCTCCTTCTCCTCCTCGTCCAAGTCCCCATCTTCATCTGTTTCGTGAATGTGATGTGTCCTCAGTCCATGTCGTCTTGAGTCGTGTCTTGCAACCGGCAGTGAGCTGTTGACACATGCCATATTAAAACCCGCTTGAAAACACTTAACGCAGTAATAAGGCCTGCGCATCGCCACTCTAGCATATGTCCCACTTCACTGCGCCCTGTACGGGTAAGCCTGCCCCGTGTGATTCGCAGCAACGGCGGCCGGCGGCGGTGGAGGGCCCGCTGGCGGTGTGACGCCGTACTCCTGGGAAGGGTCGACCTTAGAGCCGCCCTCGGGCGGCGCATACATGGGTGGCCTCGCGGAGTTGGGGTCGTAGGTCGGCGGCGGCATCCCCTGCATGCCATAATAGCCGCCTCCCTGGGCTTGCGGGTGGGTGTTGTAGTACTCTGGGCGGTAGGTGTTGTAGGTGGCGGTGGGCCAGGCGTAGCGGCTGTCGACGCGGGCGAGCTGAGCGCGGTTGAAGAGCCAGCGGTGATACCCGAGGGGGAGAAGGCCCTTCTTCAGGCGGCTCTTACCGTGGGCGTAGGCGACGATGAGGAAGATGGCAAAGAGAGTCGTGAGACCGAGGAAGACGGACCACTTGACGATGACGCCAGTCTGTCGGGGTCTGTCAGCATCCGGAGCATTTCAATCGAGGGGGGGGGGGAGAACCGCAAGATGATGCGACTTACCCTACTGTACCACCAGGGGATTGCCCGTCCGTTCTGTATGACCCAGCCGGGCGGAAGCTCGTTGGGGTTGACCACGTCCTGTCGAGCGGTCAAGTAGGCGTCCATGGTGACGTTTTGCGGTTTTCTCGCCCTCTCGTTTCCCCCTTTATGTCCGGTCCAATCCCTTTCCCTATAGTTCCCACGCCGAAGTTCAAAGACGGGTTTCTCTTTTGTATCGTCAATGTCCAAGTACTTCCGCCGTGTGTAAAGGGCTGCAGATCAACTACGCCAACCAAAATAGAGTAAGCAGAACTGTTCGACAACCGACGACCAAGGGTAGCTGTGTAGTCATGGAAAATGAAATGAAATAGCACAAGAATGTATGAATACGGGTTTTGCCAAGACTTTTCAATGCAGCGGGTGGATGCTTTATTTGAACTCACTCCAAACAAGAAAACAAGGGCCAAAAACCCATGGAAATATGAGAAGAACCAGAGTGATAGGTTGGAGGCCTGTCAGTCACCTAGTGTCCACATATTTGTGTCTCTCTCCCTCTATCTGCTCGGACATGGGGTGTCGGCATCATTAACTCTGTCCTACCCGGGCGACGCACAGGGGGGAGACTGGGGAGGGGCTAGTTTGAGAGGTCAGGATGCAGAAGCGGCGGGCCCCTCATTGGCCCTGACCGGCTGGGAGGGTCCATTGAGAGGTGGCCGAGGAGTGTGGCGACGGCGGTTCGTGTACGATCCTGCGGCAGCGCTGAAGCATCAGAGTCGTTTCATCTACCTCGGATCCCGAATGACGAAAAGGCTCAAAGAACCATCCTGGAGAGCACACGCGCGCATCACAGTGAAAACACGACGCGCGCACACACACACACACACAAACAAACATTGCCAGTGCTCCTTGAGTTGTGGTGGACACTGGAGGCCTGAGAGGCCGTGCCGCAACTATCGCCAGAAAAGTACGTAAGAAGTAGAAGAAACAATCCGTCCTGCCCTGTCTGTCTGGGCAGCCGTAAGCCTTCCCCGCGCGCTTTGAAGCAACCCGAGTGAGACTTCTTCATCTATCGCATGTGTCAGTCGATAGATTAGTCCCCCCCCCCCCCAAAATTGATCCCAACCGGCTTGTGCCAAAACGCCTTCAGCGACCGAATCGTCAACCTTTCGTGCTCGGGCCATGTCATTGGGAAAAGGGGGGGAAACGACAATCTCGAAGGAAACTTCCTGCAGTTTCTATCCTGCTTCTCCGCATCGCCAATGTAATTCATTTTGTCTCACTGTCTCTTGCCTCCCCCCTTCGCCCCCTTCCTCGCCCCCCAGCTCCCCAACGTACGCGGTTATAGCACTGGTGCCAAGGGGCGTATGGGTTGTGCAAGTGACCATTCTTGCAACTTCCTTGGACAACGACAATGAAACCGGGTTAGTCGGCCAACATCAGCCACACTTCAATGTTGACTGGTGAGAGTTCAGTGGGAAGCACGAGGTTAACGTCCGTTCATAATCGACTATACCACGGTACCGCGTACGTAGGTGCCTGCGCCGGCGGGCCCCGACCTCATAGTTAAGCAACATTGACGCACAGCAAGGCTTAGTGAGGGACAAGCGTGGAGACGAGGCTTGAGTTTATGAAAAGGGTACGGATATTAATTTGTTGACGATCTCCGGGTCAGGTAGGCCCTTGTGCGTCGTCAACTCCTCTCTGTACCGCACACGCTCATTCTCCCTCCCCCCTCCCTTCGCGCCTCTTCCACGTCTACCTACCACCTATCTTCTTTCAACCACATCGGGCAGTGTTAGACGAATAAGCCTGGCCGAAGAGAAGAGCAAAATTTGAGTTTTGGCGCGTTTCTCTGTTGCCAACGTAGGGCTGGCTTCCGTCTGTCATACGCGCAAGCCTTGGCTATAGGTAAAATGTTTGAGCAGCTCGGCCCCCTTGAGCCCGAGGCCCCGAGAATCGCCCAAGATGATGGAGGCCCGCCAGATAGAGGGAATATGAATGAGATGCGGGTGCTGATCGTTTGGTACCCAGTCCTCCCAACCTAGGGTGATCTGTGGTGGGCGTCCGAGCAGACCAAGCGGAAACTGGAGCCGTTCAGACCGAGGGATGTGGTGTGTTTTTGAAAACACGCCGTGCATTCGGGTACGGTTATTGTACGCGCATACCGATAGGAACAAGGGCCAGTGAACGTCCCCGTGGCAGTCGTTCGTCACTTACCCGTCCCTCCACCCCGTATCCTCGTCCACAAACCCAATAATGCCAAAGTCAATACCCATACTTCTCAGCATCGTGCCCATTGTGAATTCCTGCTGGTTGTCAGTGACCCGGCCCTCTAGTCTTGGGCTTGTAGTTACTCACCTCCTCTCCATCTCCGCACACCTCGCGACCATCTTCATCTCCTATATGCCCAGGCGATAACTCCTCACCATCCCCCTCCCTCAACCTCTCCACAAACCTGGCCTCGTCTTCCCTCTGAGCCCTCCTCCAAGCCCCCAGCCCGCCCATTCCCTCAACCCTCCCTCGGGACGCTGCAAACACCTCCTCCGCGGCCATCTGGCTCGCCGCCCTCCACTTCCCGATCAATTCAACAAGCTCCTCGTCCGTCTCGCCCTCGCCTCCGCCGCGGATCCGCCTAGCCTGCCGGAGAATCTCCTCCCTGCCCTCAGCCTCCCTTGTAGTCTTGCTACCAGGCGCCGAACCACCGGCTTTCGTGACCGAACTGGCGGTCCCGTAAAGACTTGATCTCGGTATTGATGGAGAGGCTTCCGGGTGCAGCTGCGGCCTTGGTGTGCTGAACGGCCGGCGCGTAGGCGTGAGAGCCTGCCTCGCCGGCGTCGTCACCTGGGTCCCTGCACCCCACTGCCTCACGGCGGCCGCAGTGGGCGTGGTGTCGCGACTGCCCGGGCCTGCACCTGAATTCGGGTCCGCATGGGTCGCTTCCCCTGGCTTTAGCTGCGGAGATGACCCTGTAGGGTTCTCGGCAGCGGCGGATCCCGCAATTGCCCCCTCGCGGCCCCGCACCACGGGCGACTTGAAGGGTTTGCGGAGTGTCTCGTTGGCGGTGTCGACTCGTCTTCGCTTCGCAGCTGGCGTGAGCATTATGTGCACGTGTGCTGCCCCGCCTGAGAAGCTCCTCCTTTTCGATCAAGGAAACGGATATCTGCCGTGTTTTCTTTGATGTTGCGGAGTGGTCAGGTGGCAAAGGAACGTATTGCCCGGTGTGGGCTATGGAAGGTGTTGGTGTTGGTGGAGGGTTTCCGAAAGGTCATGGCTGGCGCAACAACTAACAATACCAGGGAAGCACAACACTTTCTGGATCATCAACCCTCAAAATTCAACACCTTCCACAACACAGGGCACAGCCCGAGGAATTGAAGCCTACGATGCGAGTTTCACTGTGCGTATACTTGCGGGCCGGACCGCGCAGCAGAGCAGTGTTTAACTCACTGTTGTCAATATCTTGGCTCAACTGCAAGTGATATCTCACGCTATGAACAGACACATAAATGTGGGGAGATCAATAAGTTATTCGTACTATCCAGCAACTGCCCAAGTATATTACAGGATCGAAGCCAAAAAAACCAAAAAAAGGAGAGAAAAAAAACTCCCCATCGGGTCATCCACCTCTAGCTACAGCCCAGTTTTCCATGCTTCCCGTCATCTCACATGTACGTATCCGCATCACCAACCCGAAGACTTTCAGAAGTCGAAAAGCAGCCCTCCGTCAAATTTCAAGTATAAAAAAGCAACCAAAAAAAAGATATCAAGGAGTAACTGTTCATGACCCGTCTTGCGCCTGTCGATGCAGCGTAATCCTCCGCCGACACAGAGATATAGAAGAGAATGTGAACTGAATATCCTACGTGACGCTAATGCCGTGAAGTGAAAAGGAAACAGGTATCATAGAACCAAATGCACTCCATAAGTGGTCCGAAAGAGGCCAGCATGCAGATAGAATGGTGCAGACAGAACGGCGGAAATGAAGAATAAAAGTGGTTTCAAGAGTCGACCCGAACCCTCTTGGGCTCGTTGCCAACCTCGTGTCCCTCATGTGGTCCATTCGCGCTGATCTCGGGACTCTTACGTTTCGTGCTCAAGGTGTTGTCGTCTCTCAGGAAACTGGGACCTGAGCCGACAACTGGAGTTGCAAAGTTTAATGGACTGGGCAGCGTGTTGCTGTCATTACCACCGCGCGAGTACCACTCCGGGTAAAAGCTGCTGGGGCTGGGCAGAAACTCATTGTTCAAGAATCGGGATGGGAGAGCGGACACTGGAGTGTCGATGTTCATGTTGTTATTTTGCTGCGGGGGTGGACGAGCAAACGGGTTTGGCGGACCGGTGGCGCCAGCCGACAGCAGTGTCTGGGCCGACGGGGATGGTGGCGGTAGGACCATGCCTGAAGACTGCGAGTCGGATGCATGGCGTCGAGTCGTCTGGGATGTGGCATCGGTTGAGTTGCGAGGAGAGTTCGACTCGGCAGTGGCACTACCGCCATCCGACGGTTCGTCAGGGATCTCCACCCTCAAACGCGGGCGCGCACTACCTCCAAGCTTCATGCTATTGGTGCGAGATGGCGGGGTAAACGTTGTCTCTGGAATGGACGACACGGAGATGTTGCGGGTTTTGTTTAGAGATTGAGTGCTGGCCCGTGGAGGCAGGGGCGGGGACGTCGTAGAACCGTTGGTCCGGGACACCGCGCCAACATCGACGGACTGGGACCGATTGCCCTCAACCTTGATGTTGGTCTGGTCAGGGAATGGGGGGCGATTGGGCTCAGTCTTGATACTGTTTTGTTCGGAGGCGAACGATGCCAGATGCTGTGATAGGATAGAGCGGTTCTCGTCGATGGGCGTGAAAATGCTGTGTTGCTTACGCTGTGGTAGCTTTTTGATCGCGCTGTCAGTGTTGAGGAGTGGCGGTTGAGGCCTCTCCTGCTGCTCCGATCGCGGTTCCATTGGCGCTGGCATCGCTGACTCCCGGGGCAGCGGCGGCGTTGCCTGAGGCTGCTGTTGTTGCTGCTGCTGAGAGTGGGAGGGCTGCGGCTGTTGCTGTTGTTGAGGCGACTGTTGCTGAGGCTCGAGCTGCTGGGGTTGTGGTTGCGGGGGAGACATCTGAGGTGGCTGCGGTGGTAGCTGCTGAGATGGAGGCTGTGGCGGAGAGGGCGAGATGCGAGAAACTTGAGGTCCAGGCCCTTGCTGGCCCTGCGGTTGCGGAAAATTGGGCGGCATGGAGCGGCGCTGGTCTTCCATGTACTGTTGCATATGCGCAGGATGATGGTTGGACGAGTACGAGGGGTATTGAGGGCCATGTTGCTGGGGCAGTCCGTGAGACATGTTTGGCGGCATATTGGGCTGATTCTGAGGGTTGTAGATCGCCGGGTTAGGCATGTAGGCGAAACCGTTGACAGGAGGCTGTTGTGGTCCAGGAGGGCCGACGGGCTGAGGACCCATATTCGGGCCCATGCGGCGAATGTCTTGTCCAGAACCAGGACGCGATCCCATGTTAGGCTGCGGCGTGTGGCCGCGTTGCACGGGATGGCCAGGGTGCTGCGCAAAAGGCATGCCATTGGGAATCGGGGGTGACGCTGACGGTGTGTGGTGCCGCATGTGAGGGAAAGGGGCCTGTCCTTGGAACTGGGGAGGAATCATTTGGACATCCTGCGGCGGCGTGCCTTCGGGGTCCTCGTCCTCGTCGTCGTCGTTACCGCCGTTAAAATCCGAGGGGCCCTTATGCTCATTGGGGCCGCCGTGCTACGCGAGAGTCAGTACTTCCGCGTTCGCAGGTTGCGAAAGGGAAGGGGACTTACGTATGTGTATCTGGTGATCATCTCCCGCATGTCTGTGGAGGAGTACTCGTACAGTTTTTTGTTGCTGCCGAAGATGAAGACGGCAACGTCCACGGAGCAAAGCACGGAAAGCTCGTGCGCCTTCTTGAACAGACCACCCTTTCTCTTCAAAAAGGTGCTAGACGCGACACGACAAATCAGCGAAAGGCCGCAGAGGGGGGGAGTATCATCGAGGAAGAGCTTACACAGAGCGGTTCCTGTCATCTTTGATGGCTTTGATCTCAATCTTTCTGCGTCCCATCTTGACCTAGGGTAGAAGCTCCAGCGAGCTGTCAAGTTATATGTGCGAGACGACTACAAGGCGCGATGGTAGCAGCCGAGGGAGATGTCGAAGCAAGCGACTCGGATGCCGAGTGGCGACGGCGCGACGGCGGCGGCGGCGGCGAGGTCTCAGCCGTTGCAGTTGAGGAAGGGCTCGACTCGACTGGTCCTTGGAGGGGAAGGGTCTGAGGAGCGCGGAGACTCGTCGAAGCTCGGGGACGGAGCTGAATGTCTTGTCGGAGCAAGCTTGGCTGATCAAGGGAGCGAGTGGAAACAAAAGTCGGCCAGGACGGGCTGATCGCTTTTATCTAAATTGCCGGGCTCGTGGGCTATCGTTGCGAACTGATAATACGTCAGTCAAACTGGACATGGGCAAGGTAGCGCATCCCGGGATCAACAGTATTTGAAGCGGGTGGGAGAAAAGGTTGTCGGAGCAGGGGAGAGCGCGGACTGAAGACGACGCATCGAGAACATACATTGATCCCATTACAAGTGCAGATGCGACAGGTTCTGGGATGGACAAGCGTTGTGAGGTGCAGGTTGATGGGGCTGAATCTGGCGTGGATGGTTCTAATAATAGACGCGATCGTGTTCACGTTGCTGGGTGGTGCAGGAAGACAGGACAGTGAAGGAGGGAAGGGGGGAATAATAATGACGGGAGCGAGTGGGTGGTAGAGGGGAGCAGCAGTTTACACTTAGGTAGGTAGGGTGCAGCGGTGCGGGTGCTACGGGTGGTGCAGAGCAGTAGGTAGGTGTTGGTACGCCGATCGGTACATGCAGGTGGTGCCAGGTCGCGAGGCAGGACAGGGCAAGCAACGAGAGAGCGAGGGTGGGGTGAGGGGAGTGTGTAGCCAGAAATCATCCAGTGAGGATGCGGGAACAGAAAGTCGGGAGCAGCGCAGAAGCAGCAGCAAGCCAGAAGTGTGGGAGAGGGGGGAGAGAAAAAAAAAAAAAAGTGACAGGGGTAGGGTGGTGAGCGAATCACTGGGGGAAGAAAAGGGACGAGACGAGACGTGACTAGGTAGGTACGTGGGTGGGTGGATGGGTGGGTGGATGATAGTGAAGGAGCAGAAAGGTGCCCAGGTGGAAGGAAAAAGACGAAGGAAACGGGGCCGAGGGGTGATGTATTACTCCAATTACTCTGCTGCGTCCAGAAGCAAGTGGCAGAAGCAGAAGAAGCAGGCCTGCCATGTTGTTTTTGGTTAGGCATGGCTGATGCGTCGAGATAGCAGTTAGCTAGTCCTGCCCTCACCTCGTTTGCGCCGTACCACCTCACCTTCTTTCTCACCATCACCGACAAGGCAAGGCCGTGAAGGCTTTTGGTGCGTGCGTTTATATGACGGGGGGTCCTGGTGGCCGTTGCGGACGTTCGTGAAACGGCAGCCTGAAGAGGCAGGGAACGAGGAATAGAGGTGAGACCGGCTCTAGGCACTGTGAGCTTACAGTCGTGAATGCCCACAGCGCACCGTGCTTTTCGCAATCTTCATCACGGTACATCGCACCGCCTCAGGGTCCGGTGGAACCCCCTTGTACTAGGACAGACTGAGTAAGGTACCGGCAGCCACTGCGACTTTCCTGCTGCTAGCGAGACACCGCAGAGAAGATACATGTGGCAGGTGTCGTCGAGACATCTGACGTTTAGCCGGTGTGGGGTGCGTGCGGGCCACCACCCCGACTCCCTCTCCTCAATACTGACACTGCGTTGCGGGTACCGCGAGGCGCCAATCTTCGGACCTGCAGAACCACCACCAGCCTTAGCACCAACGCCGCCACCGGCACCACCAGAACCACAACCACCACTACAACCACAACTATCCGTACACGTCCAGGTTCGGGTCTAGGCCCCAGGCCCCAGGTCAAACCAAAGCTACCTAGAAGAAGCATTGAGCATTGACATCCCGCAAGGCTCGACCCGGACGTTCCACCAGGCTCAACTGACGCCGGAACTCTGAACCGGACTGCTCCCCCTGGATCTTGCCAAATCCTCCTTGAGCATCGTTAAAACCATCATTATGATGACTCATCCGCCGGATGACCTAACGGCTTACTCTGCACACCCAGCCAGAGGAAGGATGATCCCGTGAGGTCAAGGGGAAAAAGAAGGCGAGGCTGTCGCCCAAGCACGCAAG